CTGATTCAGTTGTCTAATATGTGGAGTTTGACCGGGAAATTGAATAATTCCCACTTCCACTGCAGAGGAAACAGAAGCTGCATCTGAAGTGGCATTAGATGTATTTACACAGACTGTTTGATGAAGCTGAGGTGCCATAAATGCATTTACTGTGCAAAATTCCAAATGCATAAATAATGTTATAAGATTAATGTTTTAAATATTTTAAACTTACAAATAAGAAATGTTGTGAAAAATGCAATGATACTTTAAAATATGAAACCCAACCACCAGTAGGTGGCGGCAAATGACTGTTTTACAGTTTTTCGCATTTGCTAAGACACTAAACCCCATTCTCTGAACCAAATTCTCAATAGCCTAAACCAATTTGTCGAATAAATCACTCTTTCTGCAAAACCTTAAACAAGTTCAGGCAGTTTAGACACTGTTTGCAGATCTCATGCACTCAATTAAAACTTGCAGTAAGCTGTGTGCATGTGATTGAGCAGTGTGTAGATTTAAACAGGCTCGGACAACCCCACTACTTACAGTTTTTCACATATGCTAAGACACTAAACCCCATTCTCTGAACCAAATTCTCAATAGCCTAAACCAATTTGTCAAAGGAATCACTCTTTCTGCAAAACCAGTTCAGGCAGTTTAGACTCTGTTTGCAGATCTCATGCACTCTTTTTTTTACAAAACTCTAAACACATTCTCACTCACTAAAACTCAATTTGCACTGTGATGAACTTGGGATGCAAAACCCTAAACACAAGAAATCAAAAGTTAAGCACAACTGCAACACAACTGTCATCGATTACACACAATAATTCAAAATTGTTCAAACTTGCTTCTAAATATGTTAATATACAAATATAAGCCAGTTCAAAGTGCACAGATGGTACGGGTACATCCATCAACAATGGATAACAATCTGAGAGGTATTGAAAGAGTGCATATGAGGTGCAGGAAGAAGAGGACGAGGAAGAGCAAGACCAAGAACAGTCATTTCAGATGAAATCAGAGCTACTGTGATTGACCATGCTCTTGTGCATGCAATGACAGAGGCAGCACAAAGAGTTCAACCTAATTTGAGCAGATTCTCTGTGGCCACCATAATCAGTTGGAATTTGGAACGTTCAAAAGTACAGCGAAAGAAGAGTGGAAGAGATTTTTTTATGCACTGTGTATTGGTCATTTCAATATATTCTTGTGTAGAACTGCTAGACTGCCACATTAGGGTGGAAGAACTGGCCTGTGGTGACAGACGTGCTGTCTCGTTAAAGCTGGATCCGCCTTCTGGATCAGGAAAGTTCAAAAGTACAGCAAAAGAAGAGTGGAAGAGATTTTTTTTATGCACTGTGTATTGGTCATTTTCAATATATTCTTGTGTAGAACTGCAAGACTGCCACATAAGGGTGGAAGAACTGGCCTGTGGTGACAGACGTGCTGTCTTGTTAAAGCTGGATCCGCCACACCAGAGGGTTTTTTTTTCGCGCGCACACACACACACATTTATAAAATGGTTAGTTCCATTCCTCGATTCTGATTGCGGATCAGAATCACAACGGATGATAAGAGCTCCTATTCTCTGTTTCAACATTTTTTACGAATGTTTTAACATTCTAATATATAAGGTTGTTAAAACATGTTTATATAAGAATGTTAAAATTCAGTTAAGGTTTCTGTGACTGGTAGGTTTAGGCTTGGTGTAGGTTATGTCCATACTATAGTGAGTTTTAACATTCTATAAAACATTCTATATTATCATTTTTAAGATGTTGTCTTTGTGGGGTCCAACTAAAGGACCCCACAAAGTAGTATTTTTCTGTTTTTACTATCTTTGTGGGGACGTTAGGACCCCACAAAGCAGTATAAACAAGGGTGTGTGTGTGTGTGTTTTATTGCAAAATATTTACTATATTCAATAAACTTTTTTTTTGTAACTAGACACTCTGGACACTGTGTTCTCCATCTTTTGATGTAGTGAATGAATGATCTATAGAACAGGCAGCTTTCATAACCAATAATAAAGCTTTCAACGCACCTATTTAGTGAAAAAATACAAATGGACAAAAACTGCAGTGCCTTTAAAAACATTGCAGTTCCAACCCATCACTCCTTTAATGTTTAATTCATGCCTATTTTGATGACATAATAAAATTTGATGGGAATGTCCCACATTTCTGCCACAATACCATGGTTACAGTTACTACAGTAAATCTGTGGTATGTAATTAATATTAGTGTTAATAAGCTGCTGAGTGAACTGACCTGTCTTAGAGAGGCCTTTGAATTATCCAAGAGAGAGATAGAGATATTATTTGGAACACTCTCAGGCAGTTTGACTATATATAATGTTAACATGACCTTAACACCTTTATTGTCTTGCATTTATCTTTCCTCAGAGAGACACTTTCTCCTGTTTGTTTACACCGTGCTCACCAACCCTGATAGGTTCTCCGGCCCTGTGTTCAGTGCAGTGTGTCTGTATGACGACATATGGATCTCTTACTACAGCAATGAAGAAGGAACCTGGAAAAGAGACTGCTTGGATGCAGAAATCTGGAGAGATACCAAAGAACCTCTTGATTCTAGAGACTGGTTCATAAATCAGGTTAACACTCTGGCAAACTGCACAAGCTCCAGATGTGATGGTGAATTCATTGGGTTTTATTGAAATGACATTGATATATTTTTAATTATTCAAATGCTTTTGGGCCACTGTATTTTTTTTTAATTACAACCTATTTTTTTTTAACTTGTAATAATTTATGTTGTTGTTTTTCATTTATTTATTAACTTGCATGTTTAGGCCTCCATACACTACAGAGGAGAGTTGGCTGTGAGGTGAAGAAACGTCCAGATGGATCAGTGATGAATGTGAATGCGTTTGAGGAGTACGGATATGATGGACTGGATTTTATTGCCTTTAATCATTACACAATGCAGTGGATTGATAAAAGTCCAAAGGCAAAAGAAACCAAAATGAAATGGGACGCTGACAGATTTCGCAATAAGCTTCTCCAGTTATACCTCAACAACTGCATGGACTGGATCTCCACATATAATGCTTCGGAAAACAGTATGTGTTGCTGTAATGACTTCAGTGTTTTGAACTCAATCATTTATGTCTTTTTGTTCAGAATCAGTTGAGTAGTTCCACTATCCTTTATTCATGATGCGCTTCATATTGCAGCTCCTCCAGTTCTTCACATGTTTGCATCTGCAGCTCCTCGTGACCAAAGCGAGCTGATTCTGACCTGTCTGGCCACTGGCTTCTACCCCAAACACATAGAGATGAACATCACACTAAACAACATCACACTCCAACCCTTCAGCTCTAGTGGAGTCAGACCTAATGATGATCAAACCTTTCAGACGACAACCAGTGTGAAGATACACAGAGATGAGAAACAGAGTTATGAGTGTCGTGTCCTGCAAAGCAATCAGACATTTACAACATCATGGGGTAAATATGACCATATTACCAGTCAGAATTTAATATTGTGTGCAAAATTGTTGTACAGTAGCTTCCTACTCCAGTTGGCAGCTCAGAATTGGTATTTATAGTATTTTCTTGTCGCATGAATTTATAGAATGGTTAGAACATTATATGTTAAATTTTTTCCTGCAGATGGAAGTCTGGAATCTAGACAGCATTATTGGGCAGCAGTAGCTGCAGGTGCTTTTGCGATTAAAGTTCTATGCATCATGTCTTTAATCTACAAAAACAGAAGGTTTAATGGTGAGTTCATATTAATTTAAGGACTAATTGACCCAGAAGTGAAAATTGTCTTTATTTACTCGCCCTCATATTACTCCATATTATTCATATTATACGCAAGAATAGACATTTTTGATGAATAGTCACACTCGGCCATCCAACAACTGCAAACAGGACAAACAATATACACTCTAAAAAAATGCTGGGTTAAATACAACCCAGTGCTGGGTAAAATATGGACAAACCCAGCGATTGGGCTGTTTTGACCCAGCGGTTGGGTTAAACATTTAACCAAACTGTTGGTTGAAAACAACCCAATCGCTGGGTTTGTCCATATTTTACCCAGTGCTGGGCTGTATTTAACCCAGCATTTTTTAGAGTGTGATAGCATGTTTCAAATGTCATTTTTCTCATTCTCATTTGTCTTTAACCTGAGATTAATTATTTAATGGAATATTTATTCAGCATTTAAATATGGAGACCATGCTGTAAAGTCTGATACCATTAAGGCTTATGAGTTTAATATGCTCACACTCTAAAAAATGCTGGGTTGTTTCAACCCAAGTTTGGGTCAAATATGGACTAACCCAACTTTTGGGTTAAAAATGTAATGTAAAAATTTAACCCAACGGTTGGGTTAGTTTAGAGTGTGGGGTTTATCAAGTGAAACATATAACATACTGAATAGGTATGAAAACAGCATGAGCTGATGCTAATTCTAAAGTTTTCTAACAATATATTGTATCTCTAGGCCAGATGAACCGCAGTAGTTCCACCACAGAACAGCGTGAGAACATCACCTCAAGCTCAGCGGATCCCCTGACTGCAAGTGATTAACATGAGAGCATTGAACCAGATACACACTGAAAAGCAGGATCCTGGATGTGTCGTCTACGATCATATCATGCTGTTGTTTTAATGACTCAGTATGTCACTCACTCACTCTGCAGATACTGCTCAAACACAAAAACAGTTCATTATGCTCATTCATGTTTAACTTTATTTTTTGCAGTATTAGCTTTTTTATTAGGATGTCTTTAACCTGAGATTAATTATTTAATGGAATATTTATTCAGCATTTAAATATGGAGACCATGCTGTAAAGTCTGATACCATTAAGGCTTATGAGTTTAATATGCTCACACTCTAAAAAATGCTGGGTTGTTTCAACCCAAGTTTGGGTCAAATATGGACTAACCCAAATTTTGGGTTAAAAATGTAATTTAAATATTTAACCCAACAGCTGGGTTAGTGACTTGCGTCCAGATGTCAGTAAACTATTTGGCCTAAAAGCAAGAGTGTTTTATAATGGATGCTGGCTGAAGGTGTTTTAGATTATGCGGTGGTCAGTGGTTTAGTGATTCTGAATGGATCCATATACAGTCAGGTCAAGGCAGGAGGTTTAGTGATCTTTGGCGTCTCCCTGTGGTTCTGTTTGGTATCGCAGCTTGACTTGTGCTAATTTTTATTGAAAACATTTATTTAATTATTGATTGATCGTGGCACTATGCATACATTGTGAATTATGAAAATTAAAATATATTTATTTAATATAAATCCAATCAGTGAGTATCGACACTTAATTTTTTCCACTTCAAACGCTGGATCACAATCTTTCCAATCAATCAAGTTTGGAAACATATATATATATATATGTATATACATACAGAGAGAGAGAGAGAGTTTGCCCAGCACAATCATTACCATTTTTTTTAACCAGTACGAACATCACAACCCTAAAGAGCAGCTGCAGCAATGCTGTATAAATACATTTATATTTGTACAGTACATTTATCTGTAGAAATGTGTTGTGTGTAAACTGAACATTCACAGTTGCTTGTTGTGGAAGATCTGTAAGAATGAGTGGTAATGTTGGTGTAAGGGGAAGACAACAGAGTGTGTAATAAGGAACAAGCAATGGTGAAATTTCAGTTTACATGTAACACATTTCTACAAAATTAAATGTACTTGGACTTTTCCCAATACATTTTTACCTACTGTTGAAATATCTAAAATGCTCAGTGTGAGACAAAACAGACATTCTTCTAAAGCAGACTGTCAACAAAAAAAGTAGAAAAAATGCACATAACAAATATGAAATGAAATTGCATATAACACAAAAAGAAATGAAAATTGCATATAACAAATATTTCCATGGTGAAAAAACATCTAAACATTTTGACCACTGCGGCTCACACAATGACAACAACTCTTCTTATTTTGGTGGCATTGGTCAAGTCACTGACACAATAACTAGATTTTAAAGCATGAATTAAATGTTTTGGGTGAGTTACTACCTTTTGCAGACATGCGATAGGGTTCTGATGTTTTAGCAAACGGTTGTGACCATTGCACTTCGAGATTAAATTTCGAAAAATGTGCCAAAGCAATTGAGAAAAACTGCAGTACTTCAGCTTTAAATATGTAGAATAACAGTATGAACAGTACAGAAAGTATGAATATTTTCTGTAGCCAAAAACCTTTGCAAATGCAGTACAGCAGTGATGCTGAAGTTAAGTGTCAATGAGAAGTGGGTTTATTTAAACTTTATTTTTTTTATGCCTTTATTGCTAGTAGCACCAGCTGTGTGCAAACCATGACTATTGTCTGGCTGTGCCATAAATATTTCCGCATTTCTCCTTTAAAATTAGCAGAAAAGAACCTCCAACCAGCTTGCCTTGCTGGTGTGACCCCCATCTTGATTGTATTATGCACAGCTATGTGTGTCTAAAATATGCTATGTGATGGCATTTCCATGGTTGGTTCTTGTTACATAATGCACTTTACAATCGTTTCAGGGAATGCATGGTTCGCTATCATTTGCACAGTTCTTTGTGTTATTTTTGTGTAATATGCTGTTTGTTGTCTTTCACTGATGTTAAATTTTTTAATGTATTTTTTTACCTACAAAACAACTACATTTGTAAAAGCATTCTTTGTTTTGGATTAAAACTACACCTGTCTGGAATTGTACATTGCTTTTAATTCCTGCAGGTCTGATTTTGAATATTGACTTGACCTGAACACTTGAAGTGTTTTGAAATTGTGTGATTGCAGTATCTGAACAATTTTTGAGTGCAGATAAATTCGCCTGAATGTGCTGTGACTGAACACACACTGCTTTTCTTATATATAAATACTGTATATGGCACGTGTTATTCTGTGACATGCTGCCGTTCACAGATGGGGATGAGGATCAAAGTTAGCTGATGTGAATCTCACAAAAAATGTCTGGGTCACACATTTCACCCTGAAGAGAGTAATAAGTAAATCAATAATCACTAATAAGAAACATCCTGTCCCAATACAATACTTTTCTTTTCTTTTTTTTATTATTATATTGAAGGAAATTCTAGGTTCAGTACAACAAATGTCTGGGTCACTGTAAGTAAAATAGTGAAAAACATCCTGTTCCTGATACAATTATTTTCCCTTTCCCTTTTTTTATTTAAATTTTGTTATTTTATTTTACAGCAAATGTTTGTCCCAATGAGTAATAAGTAAATAAGTAATGAAAAATGTTCACCCAGACACAAAATGTTTCTTTAATTTAATTTTACTTTTATTTTCATTAATTTTATTTTTATTTAATTTTTGTTATTCTATTTTATAACATTTAATTCAGTACTACTACGTGTATGGTTTAGAATTTAAATAATTTTTTATAATTTTGATTTTATTTTATTTGATTTTGATTTTATTTTTTATTTTGTAAAATGAAATTCAGAACAGCAAATACCATGATGTAAGGTTCACAATTTAATATTTTTTATTAATATTATTATTATTTTATTTTCATTTTTTATTTATTTAAAAAATGTATTTGGGGTGAAATATAAGCTGGATATTTTTAATTTATGTATAGTTATATTTTTCATTTATTATGATTTTTTTTATATATATAAAAAATTACATAGCACATATAATATCATGACGTATGGTTCACACTTTTAATAATAATTTTTTTTGCATTATTTTTTTGCAAATTAGGAAGGTTTTTATGTGATTAACTGTCACGAAAGTAATGTCATACATAGACAATATTTAATTTATGTAAAAATGTAGTATGAATAATATTTATGTGAATATATACTTTTTTGGACAGTTTTTTGAGAGATTCACTCAGTTCAGTGAGTTATTTTGAGGTTTGCTCACACAGAGGGTCCCGGTGGATTTCGGCTGGTCTTGTGCTGTAAAACTGAACAGATTATTTTCTTTATGGATGAAACTAATCTGACTGCCGTTGTCACAGAAAGCCACTGAGAAGACTAATATTTTGGGGTGTTGTTGTAATATGCAAATGTGAATATGCTCTGAATATAAGACTCAATGTTAAAAGAGATTCAAAGCAATATATTTACAGTCTGTTGCTATAGAAACCACACACGTCTTTTCTATAACCTGCATTTTTACAATAATGTTCAAAAGCAAATGTCAATAAAAGATTTATGTAACATTACATGTTTATGCTTAATCTATTGAACCCACCCCAACACTTACATGCAATAATAATGATAAATGCTAACCAATAATTATATTACTTGTTTTTTTTGTTGTTTTTTTTTACTTTTTACTGTCGTGACATTGCTATACATAAATATACACTAGTTGAACAAATGCAGTCGATGTGAATACATCAATTTTCAGTCAAGCAATTAATACATGAATTAATAAAATATTCATATTTTATTTACTGACAACAATAAACGTGAAAAAGAAAGAAAAGGAAT